ATCCAACTGTAGTTAGTGAAAAATGTTAAAAAGTATATTTATTGTGTACTGAAAGTTGTGTACCTGTTCAATGAAAATAATGATTATTTCACAAAAAAACTAGGCTTTAGGATATTCAGATAGAATATATAGATCTTTTGAAGATTGTCTTGAATAAGCCGTTGCATCGCAATTGTATGTAGAATAGATGGAATGTAACTAATAATGCAATTTCTAACAAATATTTCTTTCTCTTCGGGATAACGTAGATCATTAGATCTGAGATTCATACCTGTTGCATGAGCGAGTGTTTTAATGAATTCGCTAGATCCATAGATAAATTATAAAATGCTTTAAGTGTCTGATATTGGGTTTGAGTCCTAATGTGAACAACAACAATGGGATTCAAGTTCCTTAAGCTGAAGAATCTCAATTAGGGAAAAAGGCTGGTCACTGATTCCACTACTTACCATATTTTATCAATTCTATATAGACTTGTTGAAAATAAAGTCCTTATCTCTGACATTATTTTTGGTTTGTAGGAAGCACTGATAATTGTGCATGCTTACTTCTGTTTACTAACATACTGTACTGAATGAAGTCTTGGTGACGATAAACAATTTTCCGTTAAGTGTGTCTTCATAAAATATTAAAACGATACATCAAATAAATCATTTTCACATCTTCCATCACTTGTCTCTTACAAACTTCACCATTCCTTCATCCATGTTGTTAGAACAATTACTCTTTGCTCACATTTCTGTTGTCTTCAATTCAATGTGCTCAATCTTCTATTGTCAGACAGTTCACTTCTGATTGTTGTTACATACTACTTATATCTGTCAATTTAAGTAACATACACTAAATCACGTTAAGACTTTTAGATGGACTCATGTAGCAATACATTTTCAAAAATTCATAATGTCAACTAATTTCTAATTCAAAGATCACTATTGGTTTGAAATCCTTCTGTCGAAAATATAAAAAAAAATAGTGATTACATAATCACATTGTGTTTACTTACTACTTTATTCAAAATTATTCGAACAGGCATAAAATCATTTGAATGTGAATGAAAAATAATCTAATAATTTCATTAACAATAAATGAGACTGATGTATCAATGAAGAAATTAAAATCCTATATGTATTAATTCACTTGGTATTGAGCATCAACTCTAAAATGCAGGTACATCCGGCTGACGAGTTCTAAATAGGACGAAACGTGCATCCTGGATTACACTGCTAGCCACTATCTATTTTTTTTATATGTGTTGTTGCAAAGTATTTCATGTTTTGAGCATTGTCATGTATAGTCTCTAATATTGATCTTATTTAACCTTAATAGATTATGTTTCTATGTGGTGATAAATTTAATTCATTTATTATTACAGTGTATTGTATGCAGTTTTAAATGAATGAAGACAATTGTAGAGGAATCTAGAAAAAAAATCTTTTGTATATACACCAACCATCATAAGCGTGCTGATACTTAATTAAAATATCCAGTTTGTTATCTTCCAGAATCATTTTTCTGAAGCAATAACTGATCGATTTTGAATTGAATTCTGTGAAACAGTTAATTATTTCAAAGAACGTAGACTATAACATGAATTTCAAAGTATTTTGTTCTTTAAAAACTTGTGTTTTAATAACAGATGAGATCGAAAACTGGTATATTGATGGCCAGCACGAATATTTGGACTGCTTGTTCATGCCATCTAGATATTCCAACAAGTTATCTATTTCTTTCGTTTGTTTTAATACATCATTATATCTATTAATCGCATAATCTGTTCAGATGAGTTTATGAAAAGTTTACGATCTTTCGTTGTATAAGTTACAAAAACGTATAATCAGTGACTTCATAGTAACTGGTAAAATGCATTGAAAAAATGAACATATTTCGATTCCTGAACGGCTAACATCTAAACTGTCGATCAGTCAGTCAGTCAGTCAGCTACAACCTAGAATCAGGCAGATATGTAGATTGTTCCAAGTTGCCAGACCTCATTAGCACAACAAGAACACCAAATTCATAGAAGTAGTCACTTCAATGGTTGTAATGCATAAAAGAAGGATTGCGTATAAGGATATAGTACAGGAAGACAGAATTATTTGGTAGAAAGAAAAATATAAAGCAATTTTAATCTCATAGTTTAAGGAAAGACAGAGTGTATACACCTACACCAATGTGATCAATTTTGAACCATGTCACCAAGAGTCTCCGACCATTGGTTACGATAATCACGCCACCTCAATCAATTGATCTGTATCTATCAATATGGCTCATGTCAGAAGATAGTGACCTTATGGATTAATGCTATTTTTTATTTTGGCCGCCTCTAACTTTCTTCCAACCATCCCCAACACTAGTCTGCGTTGCGCGTCGTGGTATTCAATGTTTAGGTATACGTAAAACGTAGCCCAACAATCTTAGTCGATGAAGATTTACAATCTCATCGACTGAATTACCATCATTCCCTAATATCATGCATCTAACCTCACTATTACTTACCCGGTGATCCCAGCAGATGTGAGTAATATTTCTGAGACATCTGTGGTCAAATATTAGTGGCGCACGAATATCTTCTACTCTTTATACCCACGTCTCGCAGTCGTAAAGTAGAACAGAACGAACCGCTGTGCAATGTACTTGTCCCTTAAATGATAAACGGATATCTTGCCTTCGCTATAAGTGTCGTAATTTGTCAAGGGTCAAACGAGCTTTTCGAATCCGTGCTGAGATTTCTTCAGAAACGAACCCATTACAGCTGATCAAACTTCAACGAATAGTGAAGTTGTCAACGCGTTCGACTACTTCACTTTCTATTCTTTGTTCAGGTGTTGATGCAAGCCAGTCTTGCGTCGTCAGGATTGATTAAGACATAAGAAAATGAAACTGGTTGAAATACGTTTTGCTGAGAATTATATTCTGTACCAAAAATATAATATTGAATGAAGCTAATAATAATATATTGTGCAAACAATTATCGACTTATATATTTTTATATTATGTACAGAATATGCCTTCTGTGCTTCACAACTTGTTTCCAATACACACCTAACCTACCTGTAAAGTAGAACACAATAATAATCAAAGACGTTTCACCCTAAAAACTATAATCGACTCGTATATGAAAGAGTACAGTGTAAAGATCTCAACCAGATCACTCTTATTTTCTGCATAGTAAATCAAACTAGAAATTATACAAACCACAGTGTTTTGTTTGAATTCTATTTTATTTTCTCTAGTTTAGTGTCATAAATGTTTCGACAAATGTTTTTTAAAAATTACACTCTAAACATCACAGACATTGTTCTTCTCTTTACTTTGAATCATGATGGATTGATACTGTTCTATCATAGTTTATTTGTGATATGTAACAAGGTAATCTATGTACAAGGGAGAAACACCTTTGGTTGGAGACAAACCTTAAATATATCCATTTGATAGATCCTAAATAAATTGAAATGAACTAATTTCGTATTATCATTAATTCACACTTCATTTATATGAGTTTTTCAATTGTTTTGCAATTAGATGGCCATTTATTGATTTTTACTTAGTTAACGCACTGTTGCATTTTAATTAAGTATTCTGATTTACCATTCATTAGCCAAAATCAATTCTTTTGGTATCTATGATATATTTTTATATATAATCATTGAAAGCATAATTGGGTAGTGAGTGAATTAGTAACTATAAGCAACACTTGAATATCACCCTGATTAACTGTAAAGTTAATAACAAATAAAGTTTTGATCGAGATTATGAATCGATCAATGTTAGACTGATAGGTTCTGGGTTCGAAGCTCCCGGGGGGGCGGGATCGTGGATGCGCACTGTTGACGAGTCCCATACTCGGACGAAACCGCCGTCCAGTGTTTCTAGGTTTTCCATGGTGGTCTAGCTTCAACTGACTCATGGTTTCAACCAGTGAAATATCATTGAACACTTGTAAGCACTGGATGGTCGTGTCGTCCCAGTATGGGACTCCTCAGTAGAGCGCGAGCTAGAATGAAACAGCCGTTCAGTACTTTTAAGTTTTCAGTGGTGATTCAACATTAATTAATTCATGATCTCAATCGAAACTCAATAATCTTTAAGGTATTCCTTGATGTTATTATTTCATGTTGTGTGTTTTTTATTATGAATGTAAATGCTGAACTTTAGATTGTAGTGGTGAAAATATGAAGCATCTAACAAGTGATCAGTTCAATTTTGGTCATTAGTATTAACACATACAATAAATATGTTAAATAAAATACTTTTCCCGATCATACTATCCAGGTTTCTTTACTTCAGAGTGATATGAATACTTCTAGAAGTTTCTAGTACATGAATTTTGACAAATAGTAGCTATCCTGTTCAATATTACTATCTTATCAGTAGTATTTCACTGAATGAATAAAAATCAATCTAATTACAAACTATCCTATTGTATGAAATATTCATTATGATTTAGATTGTTTTTGATATTAAGAATAATATTTACTAATCTAACTAAACTATACGTTCAAGTTAATGATGAAGTGGAAAATAATTTTGTAATTTAAAAAACCATTTTTCAATCCATAAAGAATGAGTCTAAATAAATCAATATTATTAGAATAGGGTTATGGAGATTTTTGAGTTTCTTTCACATGTGGTACTGAAGATCCTAGGCTCAAATCTCACGTGCAGGATCATGAATGTGCACTGCTGAGAAATCCAATACTAGGACTAAATGGTCATTTGGTGCTTCTAGATTTTTAATAATGATCTAATATTGATCAGTTCATGATCTTAATCAATAAATTGAAATTATTTCACTATAGAAGCTTATTATTGATTCTTCAAAGCTTTGTCGTTATAATCATTTTTACAGCAAGGTAAGGAAAGAAATATCGATTTTAAGATCATTGAAACATGGCTATTTTTATGTGATTTTTAATTAAATTTTACAGATTAACATTTTGTACTTAAACTATGTGTTATTATTATATTCCATATTTCAATATGATTTACCAAAATTTTAGGTAATGGATTTATAGATGGTGAAGAACTTGAAATGTTCATGGGCAAACTAGTCGAATGTATCATACCGAAACATGCTAGAAATGTAAGCCAAGTTTATTTGATAAATATTTACCTATATAATAATATCAGTTCAAAACAATTATGTAGAACGTTTACTCCTTTATTTATGGCTGTTATCCTTCATGGAAGAGTATAGACCATTCACCAGTATTTTCGGTGTAACTCTGTCCTAGACAATCCTTTCCAGTTCATTCCAATTGCTATTCATTCTTTTAACGTCTGCTTCCCATTCTTGGAGCAATGTATTATTCAGTCTGCCTTTTTTCTGTTTCCCTTCACGATTACAAGTTAGGATTTGCCTTGTGATGCAGTTTGGTGATTTCCATAATGTGCGTTCTATCCACCTTTGACATCTATTTTTAATTTCCTCTTCAGAAGGAATTTGGTTTGTTTTCTCCCACAGTAGGCTGTTGCTGATGATATCAGGTCAACGGATATTCAATATTTTGCGTAGACAACTGTTTATAAATAGTTGTCCAAGTTTAAGCTCCATACAATAGAACTGTCATGACGTTCGTAATAAAGATTGTAACTTTGATGTTGTTTGACAGCTGATTTGAGGTGCGTCCGTTTTTTCACTTGCAGGACTTCTGTACTTGCTTTGCCAATCGTTGCCTTTACAACAGCATCTTGCTTGTTCATCGATGATGCTGGTCAAGTACATGAAAGTCTCCATCTATTCCAAATTTTCTTTATTAAGTGTGGTTATGATATCGTTCTCCGTGTTGAATTTGAGGATCTTGCCTTTTTCCTTGTGGATATTGAGGCTTACTGTTGAAGAGACTGCCGCTACACTGTTTGTCTTGACCTGAAGTTATTGACGTATATGGGATAGAATAGCTAGGTTATCTGCCAAGTCCAAATCGCTTAGCTGCATCCAAACTGTCCATTGTATCGCGTGCTTCCCCTAAGATGTCGAGGTCTTCGTTATTCAGTCGACCACCAGAAGAAAGATGGAGAAGGAGAGTAGGCAGTCTTTTCTATCACTGGTCCTCACTCGGAATGCATCTATCAGCCGTCCTCCATGCATGATTTTGCAGTGTAGTCCGTCTTATGAATTCTGTATGGTGTTGATGACCTTTTCAGTTACACCATGGTGTCGAAAAAGTTCCCATAGAGTCCTCCTATTCAAACTGTCAAACACCTTCTCATAGTCAATGAAGTTGATGTATAGTGACGAGTTCCGTTCAAGTGATCGTTTAAAGATGGTCCGTAGTGTCGTAATTTGGTCTGTGCACGGAATCCAGCCTGTTGATCTCGAAGTTTGGCGTCTACTTAGTCATTCATCCGAGTCAGCAACACTGTTGAAGACTTTCCCTGGTACTGGCATTAGTGTAATACCTCTATAGTTCTTACATTTGCTCAGATCTCCTTTTTCGGTATCTTGGTAAGGTATTCTTTTCCCACTTGTTCTTCCTCCCATATCTTCTTGAATAGAAGGTGAAGCATACTTGCAGTTACTTCTGTGTCTTACTTTAGTGCTTCGGTTGGTATATTATCAGGTCCCGCTGCTTTAACACTCATGATTTTTCTGTTGGCCATTCCGATTTCTCTGATCACTGATGGAATGACATCTACGGTGAGGTCTGTGTGTGCTGCTTCTATGTCCGGTGGGTCCAGTAGAGCTGGCTTATTCAAGAGTTCTTCAATGTGTTCTACCCAACTGTTCTTCCGTTCTTGAACCTCAGTGATTGTCTTGTCTTCTTTGTTCTTCATTGGTCTCTCTGGTTTACTATATTTCACTGCTAGTTACTGTTAGGTTCGTTATGCTTGAATGTTACTACTGATTCGGCTTATTCGGGACGGAACGAAGGATCAAGGATTCAGAGACTCGATAGGCTATTCTGGTCCGTTGTCCCCAACTCAGCTAACTCGATCAAGAAGTCTTGGTAAGATATGGAAATGTATTCTACAGGCAACCAGCAGATACCAGGTCAATCAGGCACACAAATCAAACATATTTATACAAATATTTATAATCGATATTGTCATGGTAAAACTTTTTAAACAATAATCAATAAGTTCATCAGTCGACTGACATTCAAATATTCAATCGATAAGTTCGTCAATTGACTGCTATCTGAACATTTAATCGATAAGTTCATCAATTGACTGCCATTCAAATGTTTAAACATTTAGTCGATAAGTTAATCGATAAGATAAAATTACAAAATATGAGTTTTGGGGATCTATCGTCCCCAACAGTTTCGTCGTTGGTTGTCTGTAATCATTCAGTTTGATGTGATTCATTTTTGTCAAGAAGCACCAGAAACAAGAATACCATACCTTCTTAGCTAATTTATATAAAAGAATTGCTTATCATAATCCAAACAGTATGAAAGTCAACTACATTACCTTCCTTTCAACATTTTAGAAATACCATATTAATATCCAATTAAAAATTAGTGTAACATTCTAGGGTTATTATGTCCAAGAGTTTTGGGTAACTTCAGGGGAATTCTGTTTACATGTTAACATTCAAATATTGAAAGTATTTGCCAACCTCTTGTTCTATTTTAAAATACTTCCTTAAGATTAATACATAAGTTTTCCTACTAATGTCAGACATCTTTTCTCTCTCAATACATTCTCACACCAGAGATCGTAAAACATTATTAATTGCATGAGACAGACAACGTTATCGACGAGTTATTGAATAGTTTTAGATACAATGTGAGCGTTGTGTTTCCCAAAGTTTATATGGACGAGATACAGTTGTTTTTATTGTTTATAAATCCCTATAGATTTACTATTATCTTTGTAGACCTGAAATACTGGAGTGAAATACTTGTGAACATTGTTAAGACAGATTAGGATCAAAAGAATGTCATAGTTTAACCCCATGTAACTGGAAGAAAAATTGGTCGGGAATTATAAGTGTCATTGAGTAGTGACCAAAACCATAATAACTAATCTGTAATGTCAATTGGATTCTACCGATCATGTTGCAATATATAGTCACCAATCTTATTGACCGGACATTGGAGTACACACTATTTTGGTGTAAGGGGACTAGAGACAGTCGGTGGGAAACCTGCAACCGAGGTATTGAATTATCTGGGACTTGTTACCAGAATACCTCTACAATACTTAGGGAACACTATAACACCTATCGGACTCGAATCAGTAACACCGAGGAGCTATTTGAATTACAACTGACTCTCTGCTTATGTAACCAATGACTATGCGAATTCAGATATTTATAATGAACAGAAAGTGAAGGGCAGAAGTCATCTTGAAGTGACTTTAATTACTCTAGATGAGTTTATTAGGTTTCATATAGTTGTTCCTCATTTTTGTATAAATATTCTACGGGAACATATATACATTTTTAAAAATTTTTGCAGTTTAAATCAAAAACTAATTATAGGCAGACCGCCAATAAACTTGAATGCGCTGGTCAGCTGTTTCGTCTTAGTCGTGGACTGTCCAGCAATCGGTGCCTTCAAATCCTGGTTAAGTCGTCTAGAAGTTAAGCTTTCATGAGCAAAACAGATCCTGGATATTACTCCATAAGTCGGGGTTGTGAAATGCTACTGTTAAGAAGTTTTATTCAGGGATTAAGCAGTTGGTTGTCATTGTTGGGCCAACTAAGATTAGTTAGTGATTGAGTTTCAATTAGCCTATCTTCAATGAGAACTCATCTAAATCCCAAATATTTTCGATACAATTTATTTCAACCTCATTTATGTTTGGTAATAAATGGTAATGTTTCTTTCCTTTGGATGAAAATTAAAATTAAAAAAGTATATGTTTATATTGTTCAACATGATAGTAAGTACTTCGAGCATGCTCCCAACATGATTGACACCATCATACCTTGAACGATATTATAGTTAGTCGTTTAATCAGTTCATACACTATCCGTATTCTCAGTATATATGTGGAAAGGTTGAGTTAATTATCAGAAAGAGGTTTCGTGGAGATTGTAGCAATTTAATAGTTGAATTCATGAGTCAATTAAAGCAGATTCATCATGGAAAACCTGGAAGCACTGGATGGTCTTTTAATCCTAGTATGAGAGTCCTCAGCAGTGCGCATTCACGATCCCGCCCCGCAATTTCGTGGGTTGATTAAAGTTAGATATTAACACCATTGGATGTTGATCAGTTCAGTGGACTAGAGGTAAAGGGATTGAGCGCGAGACTGGTAGGTCCTGGGTTCGAATCTCGCGGTCACGGCTTCTCACTAGAACTCCGAGAATTCCCTAACGATGCTAGTCACTAGTGAGCACATGGTAATTATCAGTATAGGTTTGTGGAGGAGTCCAAAACCCTATACTGATATTAGATTTTCATTTTATTGAATGATGACTGACCTAGAAAACTTTAATCTTGGTATCATTTTTGTTAAATTGTATTTTATTCATGTTTATTTTGTATTTTTTATCTTTTTTATGTAGAGGCATTGTTTTAGGAATTGTTCTGTTATTTATGTTCATTCGTTTAGACTCAGTGCATTAGTAATTTGGCTATCCTTTAGTTTGTAATACAGATTGAGCTTAGTTAGATAATAAGTGGAAACTAAAAGGCACTGAACAGTTAGTTAGTTAGTTCTGGTAAAGTATTCATTTAGTAGTTGTTGGTACGATATCATCAACTTTCGAACATGTAACTCAAAAATCCTAAAGTGAGAGCTTAACCTATAAACAGTTGCGGCAGCATTTAATGTTTGAGAACTTAACTTCAATCAGTTCACGATATTACTGTCATTTAATATCATTGGTGGGTGACTGACTCATACATGACTGAACCTCGTTTGTGATGGGTTTTGTTGAAAGTAGTTGCTGGTCAATTGGTAGTAAGTCGTGAATGTGTACTGCTGAGTTCCATACTGGGATGGAATACTTGTCCAATTTTTTCTGGTCCGATCTGGTCAAAAACTGTTTCACTAACTTTAGTTTATAATATTAACTATACAATGCAACAATGATTGTTTCCTGTCTTATTTTGATGATTACTTATACTTCCATTTAATTTGAAGGAAGTATTATTGTATTTAACATAACACCTTAATAATCCATATTATCCACACAAACAATTTCTTTCTTTTCATCTGTAAACTGCTCCTAACATGTCATGTTACTTATAGCAAGGCGAAGGGTGATAAATATGTCAGTAGAATGCAATATACTATCTGATGCATATATTCATTGGTTCAAGTCGCCACACCATATTCACACAAAAACATATATTATGAAGCTAAGTCGTAGAGTAAAAGAAGTAGTGACAGTACAATAGCATTATTATTATTATTATTATTATTGGTAGTAGTAGTAGTAGTAGTAGTAGTAGTAATAGTAGAAGTAGAGTAAATTAGGTAAAGAAGGGAGAAAAAAATAATATTTCCGGACTCACAGTCTATGAAGAGACTAAAACGGAATAGATCTGCACTGTTGCCGATGATTCTGAGCTATAACACCATTATCTCCAACTACTGGTTATAATAGTCACGTGGGCTCTAATCAGATAATCTTCATCTATCTACATGACTCAATTCAATTTTTAATTACTACGATACATTGGCGCTATGCTCTAGTTTGACCACCCCACCCCCCACCCCGATTGCTTTTAGCCTACTCGTACATTAGATAATATGCACTCATTGTGGTAGGTGATTATTATTACATTTTTTCTTTATACACAAAAATTGATATAGTGGATTAATTGCACTTATCTGTTCCCTTCTACAAATCAGTCTCATTCTTAATAGTAATATTAACATATATGTATATACATACATATATATATGTCAAGTGAACAAAATATGGGAAATATGATTGAAAATTGTTTGATGTTGCTTAGCAGCGTAAGCAACAATAGTGAAAAACAAAGGTTGACAATGATATGGTCTGATAAATTTAATTGTGCATATACTTTATAAACTATTGCCTAATTTACATACAGTAAACAATACATTATATCTTTATCAGTTAAATTGAATGGATTTAAATATTAAATGACAAATACCTTAATTGACATTATTTTGTTTACATAAAACAAGAGAAAAATAAATACATAATTATTAGTATGAAGTTATGGAGACTGTTAAATTGTAATTGAGATCATCAACTGATCAATGTTAGATTATCATTGAAAACCTAGAAGTATTGAACTAGAAATTTCGTCTTAGTGTGAGACTTCACAGCAGTTGAGCAATATCATGGATTGGTTAAAGTTAAACATTAACAACGTTGGATGTTGGCTAGCTCAGTGATCTAGAGGTTTGGCGTTTACACGCGAGATTGGAAGTCCTGGGCTCGAATCTTATGTATGGGGTCGTGGATGCGCACTATTGAGGAGTCCTGTACTAGGACTTAGTGGCCGTCCAGTGTTTTCAGGTTTTTAGTGGTGGTCTAAAATTGATCGGTTCATGATCTCAAATGCATAGCTATTATAAATAATTCCTCTTCATATGGAAGTTGGTTTTTTCTCTCCCACAGTAGGCTGTTGCTGATGGTATCTGGTCAACGGACATTGAGTATCTTGTGTAGAAAATTATTGTTAAATACTTGTATTGTTTTGATGATGGTTGTGGTAGTACTCCAAGTCTCAGCTCCGAACAGTATACTTGTCTTGGCGTTCGTATTGAAGATTCTGACTTTGATATTGGTTGGTAGTTGTTTTGAGTTCCATATGTTTCTCAACTATAGGAGTTCTGTACTCGCTTTGCTAATCGTTGCCTTTACAATTGCTTCGGATCCTCATTGTTCTTTAATGATGTTGTATAGTCACGTGAAAGATTATACCTCTTCAAGAGCTTCTCCATCAAGTGTAGTTGTGTTAGTGTTCTCCATGTTGTATTCGAGTACCTTGAGTTTTCCGTTGTGTATGTTGGGGCCTAATGATGCAGAGTGTTCTGACACAGGGATTGTCTTGACTCGCATTTGTTCGTGTATATGGGCTGGAAGTGGTAGGTCATCTGCGAAGTCCAAATCATCTAGTCAATAACATCGTGAATGATACAATTTCTTATTGATAACACTGAATGTACTGTATCTATAATTGGTTGATCACTGGGTAGTAATCGATGTCAAGTATGTCTGGTCCACCTTAGTGCAGATCCGATTCTACCAACCAAGTTGTAATGTGGCTACTAGTCTAGGTGACTCGACATCGCGTACACTATGCTGAGACCACCGCCAGCCACTATCTCAATGAACTGTATCATAAAATGAATGGAATTATTGGTATGGACCATTAGGTTCTTGACAAATTTATCTATATGTATCGTGTTCACAATGAAATCTTAATATCCTTGATTCATACGTGTGTTGAACTGTGTAATTCACGATTTTGTGAAGTATCAAGTTAAACCTTTAGTTAATTTTAAAAAACGTCAGCAGTAATGATTGGTAAGTAACAAATTTTCCGTTAAACATTTTCTATTAAAAAACGAGGATATTTTATAACAGTAAGTAAACATGGTTTATTGACTAAGCTAAAATGCAATTTTAATAATCTCTCTAATATTGTTCTTTTCTACTTTTGTCTATTGTTAACAGCAACTATCCGAGGATGATACTCGTGAATTAGTTAATGAGTTATTAAAAGTAATCGATACGAACAATGATAATCGAATCGATATTAGAGAGGTAAGTAGTTTTAAATGATAGATTTGGTTTTTCCTGTTTTCACTTTTGCATTACAATTTTAAATTACTATAAAGAGATTGGTGAATATTGATGACCATCATTGATTATAGATAATGATTGAGCAATATCGCGAATCGATTGATGGGGGATAAGAAACTGTATGTCGTTCGTGAGAATCGATATTCCTTGGTTCACCTATCGGTGAGGTTGTAAATGAACACCATTGTAAATATTAAAAGTTGTACAGACTTGTAAATGAATCCTCCTAAAAAAGAACTCTTCTTTGAATCAATCTTTCTTAATTTATTTAACGATAGGTATATTCCGTTTACTTCATTAAAAAAATGACATAACTTGGCTTATTCAAATTTATTTATTGAATAGAATTTCCCTTATTTATCCAAACTCATATTACCATGAAAAATAAAAAAGAACTTATGAACTGCTAAGATGTTGGCTGTCCACCAATTCAAGCTGAAACTCTATGTGTATAAACGATACACTTTTGTATGTACAATTATCTTTAATGGTTCTCACCTGTAACTTATTTTCATCTATATATATATCCTTTTTCAACTCTCTGGTTATTATGTAACCTCATTTGATAATTGGAGTCTTGAATCATCGGACAAAGTGGACGCTATCTTCATCTTCGCCTGAATTAACATCAATTAGCAGTCAGACGCAATGACATGTCTTCCCTTATATCAATGCACGTGAACAACTGCAGACGCACATTCGACTGGAAAATTATGGAGATTTTAGATAGAGGTAATTTGAAAAGCACCAGAGAATTTTTCGAACCTTGACATTCAAGACAACCAGCAATCATAAACACATTAAAGTCGATCCAATTTATCAACCAATCATGAAAATTATGTACAAACATAGAGATAAAAAGCAAACTAATTGGAGATACAATTGACAAGAACCGATCAACATTGACGTGTAGAGGACAAGCTTTGAACCAAATGTGGAGAAATTCGAACACTTCACTTCTACCTGAAGTTTGTGCTGATGATGTCGTTCAGAGGAACGATGAAAATTCCAAAACCAAACCATCCAGCTCATTGAACAAAACTCCACTAAAGTCTTGAATCACTTTATGACATATATTTACTATACAACTATAAATACATTTATACAGCTTAAATAAATGATTTCGTCTAAAAGTAAAAAAAGAGTCTTCTTTATTGAATTTTATTTTTATTTTTACACATGGATACAATAGTGAACTATTTAAAATAAAGTGTGTCTACTACATTTGAAATGTTGCGCGTCGTCACTGAATTTTATTCGAAAATTAAAAAAAACAAACTTTATTGATTAAAATTCATGAAACATTTATTTAGGCGACAAATAATTTTGTTTTAATGATTCAATAGAAATAGGAATTATTGACCGAATCAATGTTCACTTTAAGTTTCTTCAAGCTTATGAATAGATCAAAACGATGTAATATATATAATGGTAATTTGTGAGTTAATTAAAGGTAGACAATCAGGAAAACCTGGAAGTACTAGATGGCAGTTTCGTCATAACACGGGACTTTTTAACGGTGAGTACCCATGACTTCACCCGCGGGATTCGAAACCAGGATATATCAGTCTCGCGCGCGAACGCCTAACTTCTATACTACTAAGCTGGTTAGCATCTGACGGTGTTAACGTTTAACTTCAGCCAGAATTTCTTAGTGAAATCTGAGAACCGTACAGTGAATAGTTCATTTGCAAATTATTAGTTAATTGTCTCAGACTTTATTGTTACTTGTTTTCCATACCAATCACTTTCTGTTCTTGTTCTCTTCTCTTCGATCTTCTCTAACTTCTGTCACCAAGCATTTCACTTTTGATTGATGATACAAACTACTTATATCTGTCGACATCAGTAGGACATACCATATAAATACTTACTCATTTACTTACCCCTCTTACCCATCGTGCAGCTGAGGTCAATGCATAAGAAATAACAGCTTAATTAATTTCTGTCAAATATTTTGACCGAAACTTGATTACGATAATAACCATAGATGTTTCATTTCGTTTCATTTCAGATTTCTAGTTGATATATCGGATTGAAAAAACTACTTTTAAGCATCCTAACAAATATATTACATATCCTATTACTAATAAAGAAAAGAGTTATCAGGATTGGTTTTGTGGAGATTTTTAGTAAGTTCAACAGTTGAAATCATGAATGAATTGAAGCTGGCTAGTTGAAGTTAGACATTAACACCGTTGGATACCGGCTCAGTGATCTAGTGGTTAATCGCTCTAGCGCGAGACTGATAGGTCTTGTGTTCAAATTTCGCGGGTTGCGGGATGGTGAATGTGCACTGCTGAGGAGTCCCATATTAGGACGAAACGGCTGTCCAATGCTTCCAGGCTTCCCATTGTGATCTGGCTTCAATTGACTCGTGATTTCAAATGTTGAAAGAAAAGAGTTGTTCATAGTCCGAGATTTTACCTAAGACCATCATAAACAACAAATTTAAGTAACAAACATTCAGTTTCATTCATCATCATTTAGGAATATTAAAAGCCAAGTGTCAATCGTCTCAAAGGATAAAGTTGAGAATTTCTTTGACTCCGATAAATAATACTGATGATTCAATATCTTAGTTGAAAATGTTTCCTGGAGATTTCCTAAGATTGTGGGTTGTATTCAACACTGATTGATCTTCACTAAAGGATCATTAGAAGGTACGGATTATTTAAAAGGTGTTTTGGTGTAGTATGATACTCATTACCTGTGTTAATTCACGGCTTGATTAACGATCGCATTCATGGCTTTCTTACCTCAAAGTGAACTGGACAAATGCAACCTATTAATTAAAATAATCTACATAAAAGCCCTTTAATTAAATCATAATAGTCAACTCCCTAGTGATTTACTGCAAGATTTTCTTTAAGTTTTAGTAAGAAATCGTAACTGTTTAAAACCAGATTTATTAGGATTGAGACAGTTATTAACAGGGGTGTTGAAACGATAGCCCTGAACTATCACAACTTGAAAGAAATCGAAATTATACCATTCCGATTTTTGACTATTTTCTCTTCAACCTGAAGGTCCTTGGTCTGGTCATTAGTGAGATCATTAGTGCGTATGATCCAGGAGTCCTACTCTAAAAGTAACTAGATGTTCAGCAGTCCGTAGTTTTATATGGCACCTCAACTGTTATCAGTCTGTAACAGATGAAACATATATATAAGGACTTTTTTAATGTAGTTTATAGTTTATATTGTTGACCACTCTTTATAGAAAAACCATTAAAAATCAGAAAGCACTAAACAAGTACTTAGTCTTAGTGTGGAATTCCTTTGACAGTGTACATGTGCGATCCAACCATTGATAAATCACGGGTCCTTCATGTCTCAGAGTCATCATTTATTTTCCAAATCCCTGAAGCCTCATACAACTACTGATATTTCCAAGCTTAGTCAGTTCACAAAACTGATCAACTATCTTTCTGTTTTATTAGTAAGTAAACACATCACAACGTAGATGAACTCCTTTATTCACAGCTTCTTAATAAGAACTTTAGGAATCGCTTTTCATAACTAACCATTTTCTTCGTTATTCTATTTTGTGTTATTTTCACCTTTTATATTGTATAACAAAATTTGGCAGTTTGTAACGTTGTATTAATGTAATTTTTAGTTTATTTCATTCCGCTTACTGTCATATACTTCCTTTCTTTTCATAATTCTAATTATTTAACACATGCTGAGATATATTACAAAACTTTGTTATTTTTAATTAAACTAAGCTATAACTTCATCCTAATATAAAGCATATATTAATTAATAATATTCATAGTAAATCAGCATTTGACAATGAAAGTAATCAGGATAGAATTTTGTTAAGATTATGAACCAAACTGTAACCACATTGGTCTAAATTCTAAGTACTCTCCATAAGATCTAGAAATATTGAACTCGATTTCAAGTAAGAGGTCGTCAATGCACTCAGCTGAGAAGTGTCATATTAGGACTAAAAGACTGTCCCTGAATGCCATGATACGGCCGAGAGTGGGAAGAGTCCGCTCTCCCTCACCGAATGCTCTCACATAGTCACGTTTATATTGCCTCTGCCAGGAAAGTCCTACTCACTGCCTTATTGCGACTGGGGTGTTTACAAAATTCAGAGGTCGAAAAGCGAATATCCGGCGCTTTAACTGGGTGCGTGGACACGGAGAGTCCACTTAGAGAAGTTGGAAAACCCTGATTCCGAACCAGTGGTTCATATGGGCTCTAGTACCCTGAGGGAATAAATGGCGTACGAATCAATTGTTGTTCATCGGTTACCATGGTGCTGTGTCTCCTTACGATGCTCCACTACCTTGTGGACCAGACCTTTAGGTCGGATGCTCCATGTGTGGCCCCCTAAGAAAACCACCTGGTTCGGTTTGGGCACCCGGGCAGTATCACAGCCCTCACACATATCAAATGAGATTTGTGTGGCACACATGTATCTGGTGTCTCTTTGTATCAGTATTTGTTTGCTTAAATAAATAAATAACAAATACTAAAACTGACTGTTTTGCAATATTATTTAAATATTAATCTTTATTAGTTGTTCACCACTAAACAGAAAAGAAAACAGTCAATTTTCAAATCATAGATACTAACTGAATAGGTTAAAGTGAGTGTATAGAAATAATAAAGACAATTATGGTTAGAATTGTTTGTTATATCAGCGTTTACCAACCACATTCGATGATAAGGACCAATGTCATTGTTTTGAATTGTTGTAGCCTCATATATTTGTAGAAGATAAATTGAAACTTTACTGGTATAATGTTACATTAAACTGAAACGTAACTCCGTTTTAGTTCATTTCAGGAAAACATAAATGTTGACTAAATTTGATAAAACAAAAACATACGTTGAGTTTGCATGAATTTTGATTTTATTTTACAGTTTCACAGTTAATTATTCATCCTAAGTTACTGTAAGTAATAAACTGTATGATAAGTGTATATCAGGGTGTTATAACTT